CTCGTATGTTCGCTCTTGTAAGCGTTTATGTACTTTTACGATGCACGTATCGACGTATTTTTTACGTCCGTGTGAGACACCAGCAATAAGTGCAGCGGAAAATGTCGACTAGTTATGATTTTTGTGCATGAAAATATAAAAAATAGTATTTTTTTTAGTTTATCGTTTCTTCGTACTAACTGCAATAATAGAGACCAATTAAATCACGGATGCATTCAAATACTGTTTAATTGACAATATTACTGATACTTAAAGTATAGTTAATATTTTTAATTTTTTTTTTATTATAAATAACACTTCAAATTGTTGGGAAAAATAAAATGTTATCGTTTATTAGGAATGGTTTTTAGATAAATGTATTATAAACTACAGTCAATAAAAACACTTGTGGAAAACTAATATTTCAGTTCGAAATGGTTCAAATCGATTAAAATGTAAAATAATTACGATTGACTGCAAATATTTTTCTCAGAATATTTCATACGTATTACAATATTTACTGAAAGCATAATATTTTAACTAACACTGGATGGCCACCTGTGGTTATACTTCGTTGGAAATTATGATATTGATTTTTTATTTTAACACTTTTGTTTTAATAAACCGTTTATGAATTGGCTTTTATTTGTATTTTTTCCAAGAAGTAGATGAAAAGAATAACTTTTGAAATATTCATTTCTATAAAATTGTAAAATTGTTATTCTCTGGTAAATAGAAATAAAATATAAAAACATCGCAAATATCACATAATAAATTTCATAATAATTACAACTGTAATGCAGGTAAACTTATTCAGAAGATTTTTCAAAGAATCTTAAACGCGTATAAACTATTCATAACATTTTAAATTTTTTTTATTACTGCAAATTGTTAATTAACGTAATAATTTTCGTGACGACTGAACAGTTTTAGATACGAATAATTAGTAAGCGTCTACGTTAAGCGCGTTCTAATTGAGAAAATAATTTACAATATTATCGTTATGATAACTATAATTGCTCTGGACTTTCAAGGAGGAACAAGTAACGTTTACGGTAAAAAGTGTACACTCTTATAAAAAAAATCAAATAATTACGGCTGAGAATATGTTCGCGTTTCTGTGCCCGTCCAAATCTCTTCGGAAACGTTTTTCGTAAATAATCATACGCCGGATTGCGATAATATTGCAAAAGGTACGGACCGAATATCGTTCGCCGACAGGTCGGAATATGCGTCGTAGTACATTTGTTGTACATACACTACATGTGCACGAATCGTATAATTATTTTTCCATTGTCGTTGTTTGAACATGGGTGGCGTGCAGCGCACGGACGAGGATTTGGACATTGCAATCATTCACGCGTGCGTTTTGTACATACGTAGCGGCGCATTATCGTCGAGCGACTGCACGGGTTAGGGTTCGACATTAATCGTATACAGTTTTATGAATGCAAAACGATTCTAAGAGCAATTCGACCAAGGGCGTACTCAAGGGGAGGAGTTCGGGTCCGGACCCCCCCATTGAAATGTCTACATACTCAAAGATTTAATAGTAAATAGTATAATAATAGTATATAGTGTATTTCAATTTCCCATTAACTTCAATATATAAAGTTTATAGATTATATAATATACCTATAATGTATAAATCATACTGTAGTATATTATCAGTAATTTGTTGGTAATGAGTTAAACTATAATTATAATTAGAGAATAGGTAAAATAAACATTTTGACCCTCCCCTCCATAAAAAAAATTCTTGGGTACGCTCCTGAATTCGACACAAGTGTTTATCAAAGATTTGGATTGATCAACGGAAAAACCAATTAAACGAGGTTACGAGAAAGGTTAAGATTACGCGCGTAAAACATTGCGTTAAACGGCGAACAACAGTTAAGGCGCGTGCGTCCACATGGTATGCAAACACGGCACGCGGCATAGCGCATACACAGCGTTCATTAAAAACAGTGATAGTGTGAAAAAGTTTGCACGCACGTTTATTGCATATTTGCTGGGTTGTCGGTACACCGAAGAAAATTATGACGGCTATTGGACGTTTCCTTTTCATAATTTTGATGTATTTACTGTTCGAATTAAACTTTTTTTTTTCAGGTATGGCTTTCCCAAAATATGAATCAATTCTCGCGATCTTAGGTCCGAATAATTTAAGTAGCATTTCAAATAAAAATACGAATAAAATTTGAGAAATGAACAGCACGGTTCATTTTCAAATCGTTAAGTAAATTTGTTCCGCTATAGCGAACACGGTTTTTAAAAATTTCACTAAATCAAAATCGACAATCTTCTTTTAATTTACGGTTTTGTTTTTTTCTAACTGCACTATTCATAATTATGCACGCGTCACAAGCAGTCATTAATTCATCATCCGTATCTCTAATTTTTAACGAAATACAATATAACTTGAAGGAATACAATGTTCAAACGTCACATATGATTCAAGCGCGTGAGCTGCGTACCGTGATTGCATACTATGTAGAAACGCCATTAGGAGAACCAAATTTTCGAAAATAATAAGTTATAATTATTATTATTTTTTATTTTTTATTTATTCGAATCATACAATTTTTTTTAGCGAACCTAGTGCTATTAAAACGATTTTGAACAATTATAATAATTGATATTTTACACTACGAGTAATAGTGCGATAGTGATGATTAACGATGGTACTGTTTTTTTTAGGATTGATCTTCACCTTCTGATGAAGGATCGTCTTTGTACGTGAACGTGTCGCGGTAACAGGAGCCACGAACATCCTTCGGCGAAGTGTTGTTGCGATAGTGTTGTGACTAAATTGATTTTAAGAATACCATAGAGGATCACCAATGTTCGATGTTTCAGTCGGATGATTTTATTTTTATTATTTCAGCAATAATCATAACGTGTCCGTGGTTTATGTACAATGATTTACCAAACATTAGATGTTGCGTTATCTGCCGTAAATTCGAAGTATCCAACGCAGTTTATAACACAGTTATGATTGTGTTTTTACGTTAAAACCAATAAAACAATACATCTTACACGCGAACACAAAAGGATACGCATACCACGTGTGCTTACGGGTCGTAATTTTAAAATTTGTCGATATTGAAAACGGGTAGCGTTGTGCGCGGACGAGACGGTATACGTCGCAGTCATTCGCCAGACAGCTATGTAATGTATTTAATAAAATCTAGCTGCGCGTATTATCATCATCGAACTGCTGTGGGAGCTGCAACGCTAATAATAAAATGATTATTGCGAAACACGGTCCCACGGACGGCGTTGCGATGGATTTTAATGATTAAAAATACCTTTTCGCTCGACTTGAAAACCGTTTACGTATTTACCTGCCAAACCGACCGGCCCACTATGGGTTTCCCCATGGAAAATCCATTTTTCGGGAAATAATTATATTATCTCTAAACGTTTGCGTTCTATTGTATTTCCGTTTTCCCTTCAGTCGACTGGGTTTTCAATCCGAATGGCAGCCCGAACGGGAAACAAACACTACCGATTCCGGGGGCCGGAAACAACAGAACAAATACTTGTTTATTTTTTTCGCTATATTTATATTTACTGCGCTACGCAATGGTATATGGTACACGTGCAGATATATTTTCAATTAAGTCCAGGGTCGTTTGTGCGTTTTTGTTTTATTTTTTATCTCAAGTTCACAAACCTACGGATGATCGTTTTTCGACTTGCAAGTGGGCGGGATGTAGGGATGAACGTCGACAGGATTTGATTGATAATAGCCAACTGGATATAAGTATATGATCGGCGACGAGTGGCGAAAACGATGGAAGCTCAAGGTACTTATTAAGCGTGTGTAATAATTAAAAGCACCCCAACTGATAGTTTCGAAAACTCTCAACACGAGCCAAAGGTTGTGTGTGTGTGTTTACTTGATGGACAAACAAAGGAGGCGAAAGAACCGTTTAAAAGTATCATAATCAAATTCGAAGGAAAACTTAGTTCATCAAAAACAAGAGAAGTTTTCCTCCCCGTCTATCCAATAATTAATGTGAAATAAAAGAAAAACCTCTTTCGATATTACCAAATATTACAGTACAAAAAAATAATGGCTGTCAAATAATCTATTAACTATTTAAAGTTGAAATGTTATATAAATATTTACCGTTCAAAAAATATTTATAAACCTTTAACAAAGGTTGGGATTTAAAAAACGGAAAATCTGTTTTTCATTCATCAGTTGTGTTTAGATCGATTAAGATATTCAATGTACGCAAAATACTTTTTTAAATAAAACAATTAAGATGTGAGACACAATATTTATAACAATTTAACTCACCAGTATTTATGCAAGATAAATTGAGTTTATTTAAGACTTAAGAATACTGTAGGAGTTAAACACAAGTTTATTTTTAATTTAATTTAATTTAGTTTTAAATTTTATTTTAAATTATATGTATTCGTTGTAATTTGAAGTACATTATTTTAAAACAATTATATTACTTTAAGGTTAAGAATTATCATATTTGTGGGATTTAAGTAATAAAAATCACTCACAATTTAATTTAATTAAAATAAACACTATATTATATAAATATGTATATTCATTAATGTGAAAAACAAATATCGATACGCGTTACAATTGCGGAGGAATTGCCGAATATATCGCGGAGGGTAATTCACGGTGTGTCGCGGATTGTACTCACGAACTGACTCAATGAGCGTCTGACCAGCCGGTATATATATCAGCGTCGATTGTCTAGAACATTCTCGAAATTACCTTAACGAGATAATCATCGCATATTCTAGAACATGGGATTTCCCCTTATCCACTGACAATATTGTAAACAACTAGGACGATTCGCGACACACTGTGAATTACACTCCGCGATATATTCGGCAATTCCTCCGCAATTGTAACGCGTATCGATATTTGTTTTTCACATTAATGTACATACATATTTATATAATATAGTGTTTATTTTATTTAAATTTAATTGTGAATGATTTTTATTATTTAAATCCCACAAATTGGTGACCTCGACGTGATGGCAGAGACAGACGCAACCATTGATCGAGTGGCCGTCAAAATACCGGATTTAATTTCGTCAGATCCCGAACTTTGGTTTGCTATGGTCGAAGGTAGTTTCGCCAGAATGACATCACGAAATTCGGGTATGTGGTTGGAGCATTACCGCCGAAATATGCAGTTGAAGTCAAAGACATAATTATGACGCCGCCCTCGGACAGTAAGTTTGTCAAAATTAAATATGAATTAATAAAACGTCTTAGTGCCTCCCAAGAGGAAAAAACACGTCAACTTCTGGAGCGCGTTGAAATTGGTGACCGTAAACCGTCACAATTTTTACGCCACCTCCAAAACCTGGCTGACTCTTCCGTTCCGGAAACTTTATTAAAGACACTTTGGATAGGCCACCTACCAAAAAGTATACAAGTGGCGTTAGCAATAGTTAAAGATAGTAAGCTTGAAGAACTTGCTCTTCATGCAGACAACATCGCTGATGCTTCTGGTCCTTTGCTACCTCAAATAGCAGAGACATCGAGAAGTGACACTTTTGAAGCCATGTTGAATCTTAAAATTTCTCAGCTTACCTTGAGTATAAATCCCACATATTTAATAATTTGAAATTCTATATGCATATTCTAATTGTTGGAAATCGGTAAAGTATTCCATATTAATTTTGAGAACATCGTGTTATTTTAAAAAAATTTCATAATACATTAAAATTTAACATTAAAAATTAAAACTTTATTTTTGTCCCGCCTAGAACTATACACGTTACAGACGATGTTTTAACAGTCATTAAAATAATGTACTGGACTTACAGAAACAAAATTTTAAAACCAAGGAATATATTTTTCGGTGATTTATAATCATGTATGAAATGGAAGTATAATAACAATTTTTTAATATATGTTATGAAACAATATAGCTAGTAAACCATAAAAAGAGGATCACATGGACAGTATTATTTGCTTTTGTGAAGACATTTTATACAGACAGATGAAATTCCAACTCGTTGAGTAGGGTAGGGCTTGGGGTATTCAAGGATTGAAAGACACAACCAAAGGGGTGAAAGTCCTATAGTAAAGGGTTAAAAAGAGAATGTAGGAAAAGATTATATAAATATGAGGATGAAAGACAATACTTGTTAATTTTTTTTTTTTTTTTTTTTTAAAAAAATTTTGACCTAATATTCGTAAAAATATTCATGGAGCAAACTAATAAATGTTCATATTTGTTGTATGACTTCAACACAACCTTTTATTGAATTATTGTATAATATTTTTTTTATTTATTTTGTTTTGTTTTATTATAGAACATTATAACAAGATAATTAAAATTATATTTTTACCTATATATTATGTACGAGACAGAAATTTATTGAAAACTTTTTTTGTTTTCCATAGTCATACACTGACGAGGAGTGTATTTATTTTATTACTATTGTCGTTTTATTTCGAAGATCGTATAATATTAATTCTAATTAGGATTAGAAAATACATTTTAAAATAATATTGTTTTGAAATAAATTTACACGTAATAAATACTCCAAAAGTATAATAATTTTAAATTAGTCTTTATCCAGAATATGACATGTCTATATCTTGTATATAGACATTGTATATCTCTTGGTATACTCGTAAATATTATGAGAATAGATCCATGATTATTTATAAACAAATTAGTATTAACCAAGACTCGGAACTTAAAACATTTGCATATTTTTTTAAAAAGTGCATATTGTAATTCTGGTTTAATACTCGTACAAATTCGATTCATGGTACGCGCAAATTTCAAAAATAAAAATGTTTGTTGCATCATTTTGCATACTTTATTATTTTCTGTAGAAATCCGCATATTTTAGGTTTAAGAACTTTTATATAAATAATTCATAGATTTAACGAAACAATTTTTTTTATAAATTGTTAGTTAAACTGATGACAGTAAAAATTCTACATTTTATATCGTTTGACAAAATAAACTGATTTATCAATGGCTATTTTAGTATTGCTTCTATAGCACTTAACAATGATATTATAATCTCTATTGTATACAAAAATTGTAAAAGTAATTGTGGACCGAACTGAATTTATTTTTACCTAAATATATCAAGGCAATATTATTGTGCCACAATATAAAGTAATCATATCAGTACTTATAAATTTATACTCCATAATATTAAAGTTTGATGAAGATTGTATAACTTGCACAACAGGAAAATAATAATACACAAGTGTCTATTTTTTAATTTGTTTTTAATTTAATTTTTATTTTTTATTCCGTGTACCTAATTTATGTAAATGATAAAAGATAAATAGTCAAATGTGATTATACTATCGTTTGTTGTTTTATTTGATTTGGACATTAATAATCAGCGTTTTAACGCTATATACAAATAACAAACATAACGCTACGAATATTATACCGTAGGCTATGCGTGTAGTTCAATAATTCGATTTTGCGAATTATTTATTCAAATAAATCCTGTAGGTTTAAAACACAACCAATTAAAGTATTAAAAAACTCAAAATTTACAATGCTCACCGTCGTTATGGGTGAAACCACTAAATCCGTAATTATTAAACTAATTTCTAATTGGATCTTTACTCCATAAAACCGATTACATAAAATACGTATTGAGTATTTTATTTACATGATATTTTTATTGCGTGGAAAAAAAAATATTCGAATATTCGAATAACGAATTTGTACGCCAAGAATATTTAAAACTTTCAATTTTTAAATGATCTAGCAAATAATTATATTCTTTTTTTCTATTTTCAAAATAGCATTATACTGCCAAATAAAATGAAAAAAAAAATAATTATAAAAGTTGTATTAAACAATGAGAAGAAAATCACCCATAAAATTTAAGAGGGAAAAGCTATTATAAAACTTCCCAAAAGTTCTTTCCAACAATTTTGCATGTACTCAAAAGTATTCAGAATATCCTAAAAAATCAAATGTTTTGTTTAGACAAAAATCCCGAAAATTCAAAGAAATTAATCTTCATTACAAACTCTAGTAATAATATTCATATTTTAAGCCATTTAATAATAATAATAAACTTTATCGTCACTGTGTTGAGAGCATTTTTCGTATTTGGATAATATTACACTATTTATAAACACCCCTTCCTTCCAAAATTAGAGCTTGAGTCAGTCTGTAGAACAAATATAAACTATAACAACGATATTGTAATAATGCGCAAGCAAAAACCATGTTTAAAATGAAATCATTATATGATTTAAACGTATTTACGATCTTGTCTCTGTAGACGTGTTTTCGTAATCGGTTTCTCGTAATGCCACTGAGGATTTAGTTGAAACGTTTCGATGAATAGTTGAAAGAATCTAACCACCGCCCCGGGGTCAGGTCTTTTTTCTTCCGTAGAAATATGTGTGTATATATGTGTTGTTGAAATTCATTTTTTTTTTTGTGAAAAACGAGCTGCTGCTACTGCATCTGACGGGCCAATCAGAAGACGAAAATCGAATATCATCTCCTGAAATCTCTTGGAATACGCCGTACCATTTAATACGTGTATCTGCGTACAAAATCCAGATTCCGATAACCCGTTCCTGAGTCGTCGTACCGTTACGCGAAGTAATATACTATCCACGTTTTAACAATACCGCATCTAGTCGACTGAAGTGATTGTTGTAGTGACGCATTGACTTATTGTCATCAAAATCGATTACGATTTGTGATGTGGTATAAGTTGTTTCAAATTCTAAAGATATTCAATTATACGACGTTTTTATGTTGTTGAACATTTGGACATCGGACGATAGAGTGCACACGTCTTGACGTACTTAAACAGGGACGGTTGCGTTCACGATAATTCAGCTGCATGTCCCCAGCCCCCACTACCTCGGACTTTTGAATTCAAATTTTTACAGTCGTTTGTGTTCGTTGTGTTTGTTTGTGCTTTTATTCCCGTCGTTTGTGCGTAACCCGTTTCCGAGATGTTAAACATTGAAGGAGAGAGGGGCCTAAGGACATTCTTAATAAATTCAAAATATATTTAAGCAAACTTTTAGTGTATATTGTTTTATTAATACATTTTATAAAGTAAACTAAGTATATGTAAGTAACTAATTTTTTATTTATTGACTTGTTCGTTTATTCGGCTACTTGTAAACTGTCGTACTTTCGGCATTACACAATGTTAGAAAATATAGGTGTACGACGTTTTACGTATGAATCGACGTTGTATGGTCGTGAAACGCAAAAACAACGACGGATAATAATCGACTGAACTGAACACTAAACAACACTAATCTATTATTCTATATCTGCTATTATCTTTATCGACTTTCGATCGATATCCAGTGGGTTATACGGTCGATACGGGGTGATAGTATTATTTATACTTAAACAAAAATTATAACGAGATATGAAAAGTAGTTTGCAAGATAGTATTTTATTGGAAGTATGAAGTCCTCTTAGTACATTTTTTTTTCGATCATTTGAAATACGTATCTATAGTTTTTAATTTTAAATTTGAAAAATTTGTCAAAGTATGCAAAATAAGCATAGTTATCTTAAAATATGTATTCTCCTGCAAAATCCATCAAACATACAAAAATATATAAACAAATATATATATATATATATATATATGCAATATATTACTTTAAAATTTTAGATCTGATATCATGGCACCGAGAAACGAATTTATTTTGTACTTTGCTATATTTAACAATAATAAAAAAATTATGCAAATTTATTCATCTCTAAATAGTCAGACATGTTATAATAATTGTTAAGATCTATGGAAAATAGTAACATAATAGGTACCTAAACCGGTGTAAAATATACATATACATTATATAGCATAAAATTAAAAAAAATACTTGGACTTTTATTCAAATACTTTGTGAGTATTTCTAACCGATCGCCGACTTAATACCGACGAGAACGATACATGATTATATGCCGTGGAAGAAAAAAAAGGAGGATTTATCAATTAATCAAACAACGCAAATCCATGTGCAAAGCCAAGATATTTTAATCGATACGATTTCGCCGGCTATCGAAATATTCGTCTTCCTTTTGGGGAAGGTCGGAAGAAGAAAAAAGGAGAAGATCGATCGCGAGAGGATGAGTGGAAAAATATATAGTAGGTATATTATATGTCATTGCAGCGTATAAAATTTCCGAAGTACATCCGGGCCGCAGTCACTGGATTTCGGACAGAGAATAATGTGGGCAAATAATTTTTGAGTTACCGTCGTCCGTCGGCGCATAATAATAATTGTAATAATAGTAATAGAAGTAGTATTAGTTAGTTATAACAATACTTATAGTGAGAACGATATAAAAAGTAGTAATAATAAAAGGGTCTATAGTAATAATACAATTATGAACGACGTCGAACTATCGGACGCCGAATATTTCCAATTCGTTGACACCCGATTAAAACCGTTCGGTCCCTCTAGGTCGGTTTACAAAATCGGATTCGACCGTGTGTAGCATTGAGTGGTGGGTCAACGGGGTGTGGTGGCGACGAGGGTGTAACGGATTTCCATGTCCGTCGCCCGCGCCCAAATTCTTTTATTCGATGAAAATATTACAACCGCAGCGCAATCGAACGTGACGCGGGTGTTCCATTCGGA